TGTTAGTACGGCCTGCTGCACATGTTTCCTCATTCCGGATGTTAGTAAAGTTAGCTAGTGAAATTAAATTATGAATTCCTGCCAAATACTACTAGCGTAATAGTGTAATTACTTTTCCATCTAAAATCATCATCTGCACCTGTATCAGCTGTCACTCACTAAAACACATCAAACTGATCAGTAACGCATTGATCACAGAGCCTGACAAATGTTTCTTCAACAGTTTCTGTTAAAACTATCCACCTCTTTAGTTAGATCACTAGGTGCTAATAGCTAATTATGTGCTCTGAGCTAACAGGGAGGTTTCCTTCTTGGGATATTGAACATTTTGCACCCATCTCAGTGCTCAGCAGTGAAAGAAGAAAAAGAGGATATTTTGGTGATTACTTAAGTTTTTTCCTGTGGCATATTTCAACTTTATGCAAAACTGTGTTTCTGAAATGCAGCTATTTTGTCCACCAGTGGAACTGCAGAGAGCAGTGATTAGAGTAGAGCTTTGATTCTCTGCCCGAACTTGATTGGACCCTGTAAGACCCGCCATAGGCTCAAGTTGGCCTAAATATATATATTTAATTAATAATGCATGAAACTGTAATTAATGAGTGAATTTGCTATTTATTAGTTTTGTTAATAATTTGCACTAAATTATGCATAATGTAGTTCACTTCAGCTTGTAATAAACTTCGGGCTCCGCCTAAAACTGTTTCCGTGCTTTGGGCTCGCATAGAATTTCTTCCAGCTTGGCCTGGTCAGGCCTGATTTTTTGGGCCTGATCAAAGCTCTAGTTTAGACCAGAGATCTCAAACTGCCCACACATGATGGCAAAAATATAATGTAATCTGGCCCACAAGATTATTATTTTTCTTGCATTTGGTGTAAAATAATGGCAAAGGCCAAAGGTAGAGAGCAGGTTTTAGGCCTTCACTTGTTGTTTGGCTGATAAAAAATTATGATATAAAAATGTATAGAAACTGCTGTTTGCATTTTTTTGTTAAGTATGAGTTCTGCTTTCCTGTAGTACTAGAACGTTGAAGTGGCCCTCCTATGAGCTGACAATACCAGTGGTGGCCCTAAGATTTAGACAGTGCAGCCCAGCCTCACCAAATGGTGTATGAATATCACAACTTTTGTTTTTAAATATATTTTTAGGAGCTCTTTGGCCTTTATTTGACAGGACAGCTCAAGATAGACAGGAAAGGGGGACATAGAAAGGGGATGACACACGGCAAGGGTCCACAGGTCAGACTCAATGGCCGCTACAGCCAGGAGTCAAAGTCCAATTTTGCACGCACCAGTCCTTCCCATTAACTTCTCTGAGGTGACATAAAGAACAAGAAAATCCACATATGGAGGAAGTTAGGTTGGAAGGAAGGGTCCAACAAATCACACGTACCACCAGTGTTACACATACCATCGTTTGCGAACCAGTGCCTTAGAACGAGCTGTTTTTATCTCTTCTGGCGGGGTCTGCCATGTTGAACCGCCATGTTTTTACAAAACCAAACACTGGCTCTAGATAGGACCTTATGTGATTTTTGCGAGTTTTGGAAGCCATGGTAGTTTGTCCTAAAGCTTGGAAGGGGTAAGGCGTGGAGGTTGTAATTTGCAACTCTGCTGCTAGATCTAAACTAACTAAATACCACACACTGGCCCTTTAAGATAGGCTACTCACAAATCCAAGACATAAGGCAGGTAAACTGTGGTTTAAAAGTTATCAGTGGCTTAATACTGTCTTACATGTTCCATGGCAAGTCTTCAAACTGTTACGCCAACAGTGCTGAGATTCTCTCAGTCAACAGGAAATGCCATTTTTATCCTTATGGTTGATATTTTTTCTTCTTACTGAACATACAATTTAAAATGATTTTTTAAGTTGTAGGATTAACCAAACATTATACTACAATATATACTACACACTTAGACAAGAACATATTCCATCAAAAGTATTTTTTTAGGAATCTGTAATGTTTATAGAGAGCTTTGGAAGCCCACGCTACATAAATAATTACATGGATGTTTGTCTCAGGTATACATGTACACTGAAAAGAACATAATGTATTGCTATATGTCCACAGTACATCTGTAGAGTTGTTTTTTTATTCCATTTTGCCCCTTTCAGTGCCATTACTATGGATATATGACATTGCCATTAGCAGAAGAAGGTTTGACAGTGAAGTCCTACATACCACATGGTCCTTTAGAAACAACTGAGGAGATTGCAGCAGATGTAGTTATTCACTGGAGTGGGATGAGCTACATTTTTCACATACTTGAGAGGCAATACATGCAGCGCACTGCGCAACACTGAGATTATTAACATTTTCTTATATCACCGTGGAACTGAAATATCTCAATGAAGGATTTGATGTTTTATTACTATAAAAAAGTGGCCTGTGTTTCTGCAATGTGTTATCAATGTCAAGAGATGAGCGAGCAAAACAAGTGCAGTGCATGAGGTTGTAGAAATGGATGAAAGAGAGCCATCTTGAGTTGGATTAGTTGGTTACTATGGATACCATACATATATATCCACCAGCTCTTGACACACACACTCCTTTGGAACCTGACCTTCTTCAGTCCCTCCTTCACTATCATAACATCACTCACACCCGGCCCCACTCCGAGCCTCCTCCCCACCGACATAATGACATTTGCATACAGATGTCTCACTTGTGCTGATAATGCATGCAACATGCCTGTGTGTGTGTGCGAGTCTGAGAGTGTGTATAGGCTGCAAGTTTAATCAGCTGATGTCTGAGTACAGGTTAGGGCTTGAAGGCAAAGCAGGATGTGCAACCTTGTGAAAAAATCCTCATTGCAATCATTATCGCAGTCATTATCACAAGTGCGACAACTTCTTTGGCCTGGAAAAACAACACACACACACACAGTAATGTGAGCACTGAAAAGTGAGAGGATGGAGTGATGGATGAATTAAGCAAAAAAAAGACTCCTTCTAGTTTGCTGGAACAACTGTGCCTGGCAGACACAAGCAAAAAGGGGATTGAGTTGAACTCGTCAGGGCCCCGTTCAAATCTGTGGCCCTGCCCCCACCCTCCCCTCTTTCACTTCTTCTTCTTGTAGCGTTTTCTTCTCTTGCCTCATGAAACAAGCCACCTACACTTTAGGACATCTGCTAAGCTGATTTTCTGGAGCTTAGCAGCACCACAGTGGTATCAAAGAGATTAGGTGAAACAACATCCAACTCTGGCTTTGTGCTGTGTTTCAATAATGCAGCGCCGTGCGAACCCGGGCGCTTGTGTTTGTGCCCGCATGTTCGCCTCCAGTGCGCGTTATTTTTTTTTGCCTGCACACAAGCTCTCTGTGTATGCGCGTGGGTGTGTGTATTATGCTCGGTGTTACAGTGCCATAAGTCACAGAGCTGGTGTAATACAGTTGGATCAGGAGTGTGAGCGCTACAAGGATTCAGAGAGCGTAACCAAAGAGCTGCTTCAGAGGATCTCTCGCTCTTTGTTTTTGAGCCAAGCCCATTATCACCAGAGAAAAATCATCTCCAGAAAATAAACTTGTCATTTGGTGATGCTGTAAATCCAAAATCCAGAGTTATTTTTGCCGTGTGAGGCCTAACAATCATAAGTTTGCACCCTGTTTATTTACTTTCTATGCATTTTTCTCCACAGAGCACATGTGTTAGTTTGTTTTTCTTCTGCCATACATTTGGTAATGAAAGGGTGCTTTATGAAGCCAAGTGACTATATCTTACTGCATTATGCTTGCATGATGCAGTAAACGCTTACGCTTAACGCTTACGTTTAACGTTAACGCTTAGTAACTATCCACACACGTAATTAAGTAGTGAAATGTAATAATGTCATTTATCCCTCTGGGTTTAGGGTTTGAATAATTGCTGCAGAGTCAGCCTACTGTGCATTATATTTGTGAGTGTGCGTGTGTCCATGGCTGCATGCTTGCTTTTTTCTCCTTGAGTGTGTGTGTGTGTGTGTGTGTGTGTGTGTGTGCGCGCATGCGAGAGATCAAGAGAGGGAGTTCTCATTTAGTTTTTTTCTCTCCTTTCTTTCCAACAGCTTTCACTTTTTTGTGCTCGCTAACTAGAGAAAAAAGGAGTGGAGAGAGAGTAGAGAAGAGAGGAGGGAGGGATAGAGGAGAGAGATGGGGGGGGGGGTTGAAAGAAGAAAAGAGAGCAAGCCAGAGAGCGTCGGG